GTGCCCTAGGCCAGCACAAAGCCCGGATTTAGCTGAGCTGCTGTAAATCGCTTGGTCGATTTGGCAAAGCTGGGCTCAGTCCAACGCTCTGACAGTGGTTAAAGGGGCATAGAGCAAGTGCTGAAAACAAACTATTCCAACAGAAATGTTCAAAGGTTTATCTCTCAATAGTCAGCAAAGGACCCAAGAAACATGAAGACTAAGGGTGGGCAATGTAGTAAAAATACAGCAGCACGATATCTGAAGAAGGGCTAATTATATTATATATCAAAATCACAATTTGAAAAATTTCTAATCGCAAGAGCTACAACATTGTCTTAGGGAGCCTGACATTGTCTTAATAACACTCTTAAAAAGTTGGCTCATTAAAGAAATTTGTTCTATATAGAACCAAGAACATGCAAGGAGTCATTTGCATGTTCAAATGGTTCTCTGCATGGTGAAATCGTTCTTCAGATTGATGAAGAAAGTGTTGTATATGGTTCTATACAGAACCTTTTTGAAAATGGCTCTATATAGTACCAAAAAGGGTTCATCTAATGTTACGCTTCACATCATAACAATAACAAAACCCTTTTCTTGGTGCCTAATAGAACTATTTTCAAAAGGTTCTATATAGAACCATATACCACATTGTCCATCAATCTGAAGGACTATTTAACCATGCAAAGAACGATTTAAGCATGTAAATGGTTCTTTGAGTGTTTATTGCTCTATGTAAAACCACTGTCTTTACTAAAGATCCCTTGAAGCACCATCATTTTTAAGAGTTTTAAGTTTTAAGCAGGGTGATTTAACATAATAACACAGGGCTTACAAACTGGCGGTCTGGTGCACAACATTCAACACTCAAAGAGCAAAAATGGATGTGCTGGTCTTCTTGTGGAAAGTAAAAGGCTTGTCTTTATGTATAGGGAATAATCACATTTAAATCATAATCCCAACATTGGTCAGAAAAAAAATGCAACTGGATACTTTCCTCAAAACAGTTCAGCCCTAATTTGAAAGCATTTTCACAATACACTATGTTACACAGTATTTAGTTTTATGAGGTTTACTATTTGAGAATGAAACAGTATATCTGCATTTAAAATAGGCTATGAAAAACCATGAATATATATATATATATATATATATATATATATATATATATATATATATATATATATATATTGTGCATACAAACTTTAAGAAGGACCAGACTAACCAAAATAAATGAATGAAATAAGATAATAGCATAATGGACTAATATTCAATCAGTTACTTATTACTATACAGTTTATGCTGTCGCTATCAAGTATGCACTAATATGGGAGCTCTGGTATTGTTTTACTAATGCCAATACATTCATATTTATAAAATGCAGAAATTGGAATGAGATCCATCTAGATTAGCACTACAGAAAACATTTATTTTTCTAAAATGCAGACATTTTAGCAATGTAGTCCAGTATCTCTTAAATATTCTGCTGTCCCAGAGTACAATAAATATATAATTAAATATGGGTTTAAATATGGGGAATACTGGTCAAATTGAAATATTTATCCATTGCTGATATATTGCTTTTAAGCAAATATCTTCCAACATGATTTTGATATCATGCTGCATCCCTAGTTACTATACACCATTGCTGTTTACAAGCTGTATATAACTGGTCTTTTTATGACACATGCAGTTGTCAGTAGTAAGAAAAGCATATTGTGATTAAATTTATCACATAATGATAACAGTAGCATATCATCATTTTGCCTACCCCTGATGCAGACTTAGAACAGAGCCAGACTGTCTCTCTGAACAGCTGCTGGGCTACACAGTCATTTGACCCAATTATACTGGAGACACTGTAATCATGCAGTCAACCGAAGTCAAATTTACATCCTGCTTTAGAATTTGTTACTATTGCCCTCTTTAATTTTAAATAAAATGTTTGTTTTGTTACAAATACCACAGAGAAGGGAGGCTGACATTGGAAGATGAGCATCCATTCACAAATTGACACAAAAATACATTTCAGTGCACATATCAGATGCTTAATTACTCTGGTGTTAGCTCTCTCACTATAGAAGGGGGGGCATATGTTAGCATCTTGTGGCACACTGAAAAAAGTGACACATCTAATTTACTTGATTCAAATATTCAAATATCATTCGCACATGAATAAAATATATTACATTAACACAGTATAATATGTGGAAATGATGTACACATTTCATTTGAATCAGCTACATTCAGTGTTTTGCATCAGTTTTATTTTTAGTGTAGATCAGTCAGAATCTTCATATTGCATTTATATTGATAGTGTAGTTATTCTAGTGTGGGACTGATTGTCTACGTTTAAACAAATTAAAGCATATTAGTTAAATGCTTATGGTATATTGTCTCTTCTGTTCAAGCCAGATTCTCAGCCTATTCATCTCCCACCACAAGCAGGTCAAACTTCAAACTTTCAAGCACTTTCTCCTTCATCCATTAAGAAATCTTCTACAGTGTATTCTTCATTCTGGCTAAAACTGTCAGCCTAGCCCCACTGAGCGCTTGCTGCCGAGCAACTTTGATGTCAATGAGCAAGGAAACACTACGACTGCACAACTTCATCTCAGTTGCCACCGAGAGTGACTTGAAAAGAAGCTGCCTTGGCTTTATTTGGCACAGATTTATGTCTCCCCAGATGCATCACACGCTGAGTATCACGCAAGAACGTTTGTATTCCCATGTGAATGGAGGAATATTGGTGTGCGTAACAGGTGTGCCAGGAGCTGTGAGAGCGCATTGTTGGGGCTGTATTGTTGCGGTGGAGGGCAGGTGCAGGTAAACACAATGCTGGGCCTCTCCCTGCACTTCACAACAGGAAGCTGAATTGAGCCGTGACAGCACGCTGTCAACAGCGACTACAGGCTGCGCACACACACAACAAAGGCCGCTCCGCACCCGCGGGGACCGTACCGCTACACACAGAGAGAGAGGCGCCATGAGGAGCTAACGTTCACACAATACTGGCACACAACACAGCCAATAAACAATGCTCGTGGAAGTGGCTAAATCCGTTTGGAGTGAAAACACGGGCGCTGATCTAAACATAAGGCAAATGGCTTTTCATGGCATGAAGTGGCTAAATATGAAGGGAACATGATCCCACAAAGCTACTTCTTTTAAGTCCTCTTCTTTTGACTGTAAGTGGATATAATAAACACACTCACACACAAACACACACACTCACACGTTTGTTTTAATGCAATATCAGGATGTGGGGTCACATATAGGTCCCATATGTATTATATATCTAAGCTAATAATAGGCCATACAAATTGTTAGCACCTTTATGCTGTAATAATACAGTACCACATCCCATATGTGTTAAATATGCAACTAGGACTGGGCACTATAGCAAAACTACACTATCACGATACTTAAAGACATATTCATAATTAACAATATGTATCACAATATTACTGAGGTTTGATCAAATAGAACAAATAGAATACTATCAAAAACTATGAGTACAATGACTTTACTTAATATTTCATATACTGTGCCGCCCTAAATCCAATGAAGCAGGACTAATTATTTTCTCTTTTTAATGACACATGCAGCTGTTCAATGCTCTTTAAGTACAGATGATATTGACCATATGCTCAGAAAAGCGTCTAGTGACATATTGTGACATAGCTTGTGACATCACGGGACGATAAAATATTGTTATATTGCCCACCTGTACAGGTAACTAATTATATTTACTACTAATATGGAACATACATATCACTGCTGTCGGAACAAAACCTTCTACCCCCGAAATGCTACCTTCACAAGAGAAGGAAAAAACATACTTTACTTTTAATGCATGTCAATGGAACCAGACGTTTTTCCAGATTATTTCAGGACATTTCTTTTGATCTATTCATCATGAAATTTACACAAAATGTAGGGGGTAACAGGCATTTTCAAATTATGTCAAAAGCAGAAAATGACAAAAATGGAGATACAAGGTTTTGGTCCGACAGCAGCGAGATTTTTCTTTATTATAGCTTTCATTGCTTTTGGACGTCTTCCTTTCAGTTTTTTTAAAGTGTGTCAAAATTTTATGATGAATGGACCAATAGAAATGCGCAAAAATCTTGTTACATTAACTTACATTGGAGGTTCTTTTCTCCTGTATAGGTTTTGTCCTGACAGTGACAACATGTAAGTATCTGTATGTATTTTCGAAGCCTATCCCTAAATCTAATCCTAACCTTAATCTCTGTAAGCAAATAAGAAATGGTTTTAAAGAATGAAACATGGAGGTTTTTTAAAAAGCACTTCACAAAAATGGGACCTGTAGCCGTGATTAGCCCTTTTTTCACTGTTTCAGTCCTGAACATGTACAAAAACAAACACATACAGAAGCACACTCACAGGTCTCTGACAGATGGCCCTATACATAATTGTATGCAATGCTTTGTTAATGAACTGTATCAGCACACTTGGACAGCGTGATGTCATCATGATCAGGTGTTGCAGTGATGATGTCCTTTGTTTTAACGTGAATTACGGCTCGTCTATTATTTGCTAACCACAAAGACACTGATGGAGCCAAAAGTGGGCCACGCTTTCGTCTTGTATCTTTACTTTGGGCTTAGCAACTGAAACCATACAATGAGCATCTTAACAGTATTGCTCATCCATACTGCTAAAGTGTGCTTCATATTTCATTCATTTTACAACACTGACTGTTTTATCACTGCATTAAATCCTCTGTATAACAGTGCCTCATTATTCAGCAATGATTACATTCGCGGTGACTCTATGAAATTAGAACAAAGAACTGAGTTTCTTCGGTCATGTCCCTTTAAGAACAATACAGCTCTCTCTTCTCTCTCTCTCTCCCTCTCTGATGTGTGCGTGTTCTATTATTTTTCACTTTGAATCTGTCTTTGGTCACTCGAGGGAATTGGGAGACCTTGAGATGTTATCCTCGGCCCAGTCTTAATGCAGTGTTCAGCGAGAGAGTGTGTGTAACTCACCCCGTTCTTCGGGTAGGCTATCCATCCTAGGTCACCCATTACAGACCGCGAGTCCAGCAAGTTCACTGCAAGAGAGCAGGACATAGGGACAAATCATAAATCTGCTGCAGAGCTTTACAATATATAATACAGTTTATATTTACAACAAATTCACCTCTGGCAAATCATGATTTCTTATTCATGATAATCAAACTGGTGCAAACTTTGTTGTGTAAATGAATGGACATCTGTCAAAATCTTATGGTACAAAGCTTTAACGTGAGCTCACACTCATATCAGTTTCAAATTAGTTGTCAAATAATTTACAGCAGTTACATACAGGTATTCATAGTGCAGGTGGGCAATATGGCAAGAATTTAGCATCATGATTAGGATTCTCACAATCCTGTAATTTTAGTTGATGAATCACTGTGATTAAAAATTTAATTGAATTCTTTATTCGCTGTACACTATTAAAGTGCAAGTCTAAAGTGACCAAATTAGCTGATTAGCTAACTTCCTAGCTTTGATACTAAGTAGTTTTCAACTTAAGACAGAAACAGCCCAATCTTAGACAAACATTATTCACCATTGCCCTCAAATGGTGTTATGACACAAGTATTTTCCTCAGTCCAACTATTGAAAACACAATCAATTCACATTCTATTTGTTGTGATATAAACATATAAATGCAAAAATCATGTGTTTATGTGACTGTGAAATAATTATTGACTGTTAAAATAACTGAGATCTGGAAGCATGTTATACGTTATAAATGTGATAGGCTTAATCTTGATATTTCAAGATTTTTCATGATACACAATCAGGATTTTTTTTGTTTTTCCGAGGTTTGATACATTAGAACTCATTAGTGCCACATTTATTTATTTATTTATTTATTTATACCTTCAAAACCATGAATACCTACATTCATATCTATATTCATAGTTAACAATGAAATAAGACAATAACTATGAAATCCAATTAAACAGTTTGCTCTCTTTGTAATGAAACATGCAGTCGGTCAGTGCTCTTTAAGTATCCACGATATGCTCACAAAGGCATACTGTGATGCAATGTTTTGTAATTCATCATGAGTCACCACATCCCACCCCTAATTCACAGAATGTTTATAATAGTACTACTGAATAATACATCTGCCGTTTAGGGGTTAAAAATCTAGGCTGCAGTCCAAGGTTACACTGTCTGAAAAAGCATAAAAAAGAATAAAGAAATGCAGTCTTTATGGTACAGGATCTATTTCTTGCAAGCAAATATACAACAGAACAACTTTTCCTGTCTACAATGTTCTAAAAGGGAATTGTGGAAATGTGCAGTATGTATGCAGTAAATGCTAAAGCATAGATAAATGGCGCTGTTTCATTATCAGTTCACCTGTGCACATATTCAAATTACCCACCGTGGTCTTGCTACAGCTGGAGTATTCTGCAAATGACTAAGGCCACCGCTAATTAGATGACCTTTGGAATCGCTGTCTGATCGTCACTGAATTGGACTTTAATCAGGGGTTACATGGCTGCACCATTTAGTGAGTGTGAAACTAGTACGGAGCATCCACAAGCAGCTCAATAAAAATGCCCACCTTTAGCAAATATTACTAAATTACAGTGACAGTGAAAAAACAGCAGATGGTCATCAGGATCAAGCCAGAAAAAACTCCAAAGACACCACAGATCAAACATTTGAAGAAATACATTCTACAAACACAAACATACAGTGACTATAAAGCTGAGGACACTCTTTTCTGCATACTTGTCTGCACAATTGTAAGTGCACGTTTGATTTCTCTGACCAAAAACAGCCAGTTGGTGAACAGTCCTTCACTGGGTAATGTAGCACTTCTAAAAACAGTGTGAAAAACTCTTTGTGATCTATTTAAAGTGCTCCAGGTTTTTTGGATGTGATGCACTTGAATGACAGTAACATTATTGGTGTACATTGTTCTACTTAAGATGAAATATGTCCTGGGGAGTATCACATAGATCTAATTAGGACAAAAGCAGAAGTTTAAAGTACTGAACTAGATCACGCTGGGGAGGTTATGTCCATCCTACGGCAAATATGAAGAAGAAAATGGATGGAGTCAGTGCTTTTAGCTTGAGGTGAATGATAATAAGGCACTATTGTGACGGGCTAATCTGCAAGAGACAAAGAGAAGGGTATGCAATCATGCCTAAACAAGAAAAAACACCACATTCCTATTTGTCAGTGGCAAAAAGATTCAAACAAAAGGCGAAGTAGCTGACATATTGGCATTCTGAGAAGAAAAGAAGTGTTCGGATTGCTTGGAAAAGATTGCAAAGGAATGTATCCGACTAAAACATCCAAATGCAAATGCACAAACTGTGGTTGCGTCCTCGTCCGCTCTCATTCAGATTAGCAAGGCAGATCGGAGCAGAGGTCACGGCTCCACAAATCAGGGAGTTTGTTAAAATTCTGCAGGGGTGAAGCTGGCGTGACTTTCAAGGGAAACGTTATCCCGCCTCATCTGCCGCGCCATTGTGGACGCCGATGGAGGCACACAGCCGCCCCGTGGCCCACCATTCATTGTGCCATCTTCAAGCCTGCAATCAATCATGCTCTCCACATACCTGTCACACACCATCCATATGCTGACTCCAACCGCTCATTTGAATATTTACATATTCCATTAGAGAAAGCGTTCTTTGACAAAATGACAAATAGGACCACATCAATTATTGTTACAGAGAATTTCAGGAGTTGTTGGGAGAAAAAAACCTGTATCCCTGAAATGGTAACTTTGCAGGAGAAGGACAAAGATGTTCTCAACTTTTAACTTTTGTAAGTTAGTGTGCTCAGATTTTAAATCATTTTGACCATTTCTATTGATCCGGTCATCATGGAAGCTTTGCACAATAGGCAGCTTGTTTGAAATGATGCAAAAAATGAATAAACGAGGGAAAAACATGATATAAAATGACAGCACTGGCTTGGTGGCATGTCCCATGGTGCGTATTCGTGTGAAACAACTGAGACACTCTTTTGCGATTTTAAAATGCAGCACTACATAACTGCACCCAGCTGGAGAAGCGAGCATATGCGAGCCTACTGTATAGTTGTGTAATGCCGAAAATGATGCATAGATGTCAGTGTGTGGCACATGCTGACAGAAACAGGTCATTGGGAACTGAACACATTCGCCTTTGTCTCATTCTTCACTCCTGTTTACTGCTGACGGCCATATTTCACACATACATTTTCATATTTAAAACAAAGTCAGCTATTTCTGAAGGAAGACGGTGACTGTATAATGCAGAAATATAAGTGCACTGACACACGAGCCAGTCTGGCAGTATATTGGTTTTGCTCTGTTTGCTTAAATCTTCAGGGTAGAAGTGTACAAAAGGTGGGAATATAACTTGATAGTTATAGTTGTGATTTTCAATTAGGTTGATAATCTTTCCGAGATCGAAGGAGCAAAATGCCACTTAAAAGTTTGAGTTACTTGACAGCCCTGACAGCAAAAATGTCTCCATATAGTGGAAAAAAGGTTCTGTGACTGTAAAAGAAGCATATACAACAGGTTTTCCATCACTTAACCACACACTGCGTTCTTTGTATGGTTAAATGATGTATGGCTAGTTCTTTACATTATCACCATTCTCTATATAACCACTGCCTTTGTTAAAGAACCCTTAAAGAACCACCTTTTAAGGGGGTACAGCCATTTAAACCTGGGTATGATGTAACTAGTTTTGATTTCACCACAAACTCCACATGTTCAGAGAGACAGAGTGAGGAAAGCAAAGCCCTCAATGTTGAATGAACACCTACTGAGCTGAATGAACCCTTCCGGTGCTCATCTGTGGGGAGTGATTGGTGTTGGCTCAGTTCTTGGTACTGCTTGGTACAGATTCCACTGCATGCTGGATAGCGACATTAGATAATGTGTACTATCAGAAAGCAGCAGTTTTTACCCCGACTTGAACAGTTTCTCAGACACGATAAACACTTACCTGGGTAGTTGCTGTCTCACAAGCCTGAAAGCTAGACACTAATGCCTGTCAGCGCTCATTTAAAGCCATATGGAGTTCAAACGTAGTGACATAAGTGGACACATGAAATAATATGGAATAAGTTTTCCCTTTTGACACTGTGTTGATTCTTTGGCTAGTTGGCGAGAAGGACGGCGTATTTGTATCTGTTCTAACCCGCTGTTACTGACCGACTGACTCTTGCTGGGACAAGACATGACACGAGAGCCGTGAATGAAAATAACGTTAGATAAAACCGTTAGCAAATTAGCTGTAACGTTACACATTCCTGACAAGACAGAAGTGACAGACAGCTTTTCTCCCCAACTAAATGTGTCTCCCACAAGCCACACGCTCCGAGAGACTTCTTCGCCACGGTGAAGAGCAAATTTACACCGCTTATTCTAAAACAAGACGTGTTTCTTACCTTCGTTGCTGGGAATGCAGAGCGTCCCCAACACTGCGCAGCTGAAGACGCAAATCCATACTTTTATGGAGACCGTTTTGATGTAACTCCGCCGCGAAACCATACTCATAAAGAGGGCTGAGGGGTGAGGAAAAATGTTTCAAATTCGTGTCGAAACCAGCGTACTGAAATGCAGGTTCAGTACTGAATCCTTTCCGTGTGAGGTGTTTTCGAAGACATGAGCGTTTCTGACGATAACTGTGTGGAAATGATAGCGCATTTGAACGGTGCGGGAGACGCTGACTGAGTGAAGAGGCTAGCAGGACTGTTGGAAGCTCGAGAGCTCGCGTTGTTGTTTTCCCACCCGTATTCATACAAGCCCCGCCTCCTCAGCTGGAATTGGCTAATGGAGTCCTGCCTCTTGCGCCGATTGGTGAAACGCATGCGAGTATGAACTACCAACCAATCATAGAGCGTGGAGGCGGGGTTTGTCGGAAGACGGGTAGGAAAAATATGAAATAACGTGCCGAGCTGTCAGACGGAGGCGAAGAAAAGCATGTCAGGTTTAAGTTGTTGTTTTGACTTTTGGGAAACGGTCGTGCACGTTTTAGACCTCAATATATTCGAGAGACAAAAGCGAAACGTTTGAAGAAGTGAAATATCACTGTATCAACAACTGGACCATCTTCATGAAGTTGCTTTAATTAGGCTGGCAATGGGCCTTTCGTCCCCAAATACCCGTTAGCATAGCGGTCACGAACCTGGCTTCCGGACAGCTATCATTTTTAGGGGTAGTTTTAAAGGGCATATATCATGGAAAGCTAAAATTTTCTTCTTTTTTGAAAGAAAAGATGCTAATAGTATGTAAAGACTTTTAGAATATGTAGTTCACTCAATAGTCCATTATATGGTAACTGAACACATTTTGAATTCATTAAATTTGTGATGTCACAAAAATAATAATGTTTACATATATCCACCTACGCAGCCTACAGCAGTTTATCACTTACATACATCAGTCAAAACAAACAAAAAAAAATTCTGAGGTACAAAGAGTGGTTGAAAAATGGTCATGTAAAAATAATAATGACTGTTAATATCTAAATCTGCACAAACATTGTAAGTGGAAAAAATGCGTAATATGGGCCTTTTAACTCTAACCCCAATCCATCGTTGTTCCAGCTAATTGTTAACCACAGAAGCCAGAGAAGAACATCACCAGCATGATGGGTCACCTCTGTATAGGCATATTGCATGGTGGTCTATTAGAAGATGGTGTGAAATAGCTCACTGACACAGTTTGTCCATCATCCATAGGTAATGATCTGTTTATTTATATCATCTGTCCATGACATGGTCAATTTTATGCTCATGTTGTGGAAATACAGTGGTCAAAGTGGGGTTATTATAATGTGTGGGCTTTGAAAAAACAGCCTAGAAAAAAATGTAAAAGGTTGAAAGAGCACTTTATTTACAAGGAAATATTCTGAAGCGCATGTTTTCCCTCGACCACGCTGATCTGACGACTCTTCCGCATGAAAAATCATAACCGATCTAGAAACAGTGCTGCCGCTCTTAAGGTGCTTAGCAAAATACGTTCTGCCTCTGCCTCCAGTTGAGCAGTGCTGCTCCGTCTCTTTCATCTGAGTGATGATGCTACATATTCCCGCGCCTTGCCCTCTCGACACCTCCCACGCTCTTCAAAGCTTGCGCTCATTCACCAGACGCTGGAGGAGGAACACACCAGCCAGCAGGAATCGCCTCTTCCCATTTGAACTTCTGAGTTTGAAGCTGACAAGCTAAAGGATCACAGCAGTGGCTTTGTCCTCAGACATCAGCAGAGACAGGAGGGAGGGAGCGGGCTCTGAAAAATTAAGCATTGTACGAGCATCTCTCTGTTAGCATGTGAACTGTGGAGCTTGCAGCATCCTTGCATGCTTCTCTGAAATCAGTTTGATCAATTTAAAGCAGATGATGTGCACAAATCGCCTCAATGATAAGAATTACATTCTTGCCAATGGGGTTCTTTGGAGCAGTGCCACAGAGGAACCACTTTGGACCCTCCAACTGATGATTCTTTAAAGAGCTATGTTTGTGGATGAGATGTGTGAAGAACGTTTTTGAGATTATGTAAAGGTTCTATATCAGTTTACAGAAATGTATATGCATGTCCATTTTTTAGTATCTGTAAAAAAAACTGAAAAAAAACATATTTAACTGAAAATTACACAGAAGCCTCAACAACTAAATATAATATCAAATCTTCCAGTATTTCATGTGTCCACTCTTTGCCTTTATTACACTTTCCATTCTTTTCTGGAGACTGACTTTCTGTTTTTAAAGAAATCTGCAGGGATATTTTTCCACCCCTCCAAAGTTCACTCTTAGAAGTTGGTTGCATTTTCTGCTTCCTGAGATCCATATAATCCCAAAGACATTCAGTTATACTGAGGTCTGGACTCCATTCTGGCCAGTCCATTCAAGCTTTAAGTGCTGTTTACAAAACGTTCTGTTCGTAAGATCTGATTAGTTGAGCCGTGTTCAAAGGCGTGGTAAAGTCCATGATATACACGCATCTATGACCGCCTCACAACAACTGAATTGTATATTACTGCACCACGGCATGAAAAAACCTTGTGCTGTTTATGGAATAATCTTTGACTCTCATGCTGCTCGCATGGCCCTAAAAGATAGCCAACAACCATAACAACTCCATCATTAATGTCACAGGCTTGAATCAAAGTTCTTATAGTACGATTTACTGTGAAACGGCACTATAAAAGTCTAAAAATGTCACTTGAATGTCTTACACGATTCAAATGTTAGTGTTTCAGTCGAAAGTAGCATCAAACCCAGGCTGAATCCTAAACGGCTCCGTATTCCCTAAATAGTGTGCTAGCTATAAAAGTTTAGAAATTCTAGCCTCTACAGTCAAATAATGCATCATTTAGTGAGTATGGATGTGGCGAAATGTCCCAAATGAGTATTGCTGTATTTTCCACTGGTGGAGTGCAGGATCCAGTATTTGATTCCTATGATATCATACTCTAAAGAAACTACATTTCTTGACGGAATAATTGTTTGTGTCGATTATGATTAATAATAACTTAATAACTTAAATGATTTTTTGTGCATTGTATCATATTTTACGTTGGCTGTCATCAGTAACTGCTGTGCTCACATATGTTAAAATCTGACTGTGTTTACTCACAGATCACAGCATGTTAAATAATCTTTGCACCTTATTCCACTACCTCATGTCCAGAAATGGGTTGAGGTTGTGTGTTACTGCGATTTTTCACAGGAAGATAAAATCACAGTAACGCACAGCCTCTTGAGGCTTATTGCTTTATTATCTGATGGTGACAGTTGTGGTGGTCTATCAGGTCTTGCATGGTTGTTAGAAGTCCTATTTTCTCTGTATATATTTGTAACATTTTTTTGAACTCCAGTTTTGGAAGCTCCTGTTTTTTCCTCTTATTTTTCTTTGATCACCCCCCTTTCCTTATGCAAGTGGATTATGTTATATCTATATATCTCAGAAATATTTCCTGTAAAAAGGAAGAACTTTCACATAATGACTAGCAATTAAACATATAAATGGGTGTCTGACTTTACCACAGTAGTGTATGCAGAACCAAAAGACCATTTGAATGCATTAATGCTTCTTTGCATGGTTAAATGGTTATTCTCTATGATGGAAAATATATTGTATATGTTTCTTTAAAGAACAGTGTAAAAATAGATCAACATAGCACTATTGTTGCAAGTCAGAAACACTTTTGTTGGCACTATATAGGACCCTTTTTGCACTCTAACCTAACCTTCACTCCTATTCAAAGACTCTGTAAGGTACAGCAGTCCACTTGCAGGTCAGTCTAGGCCACCTCCATTGAGCTTCAAAGCTTGGAGCATTTAGGCATATCAAAAAAGTCCACAGACCTAGACCCCAGCATAATGAAAAGATGGACCGGATTTGTCACGGCCCGCGGCCCAAGACGAACCGCAGCACATCCCAAATCAGCAGGGTCCATGTCACCTTGGGCAGACAGAAGCCTTGGTGCAGGCAGCTACAACTGTGCTGTCGCTACTGATAAGCTGCTGAGCATGGCCTAACGGTCTCGGTCAAAAGTGCAAGAGGAGAAAAAAAAAATGAAAGGATTTTTTGTGCTATTGTTTTACACAATTTTCTGTTTAGCGCTGGTATGCCACCCTCCAGAGAGGTTATGCGATAGAGGTAGAGGACCATGGTTGTAGCTGTTATGGACATGGATAAATTATGATGAATATAGATAGTTTAATAAATACATATTTTCCTTCAGAAATGAATTCAGTGACATTTGATGACCTCTTTGGTCCTTATTTCTCTATTAATCTCTTTTCAAAGCCTTCAAGTAACCTAAAAACCCCTTAAAGCCCCACTAAGGAATCAGTATAACCAGGTTACTTTTTAGCACTGCAATATTAGAACGAGACGTTAGAACAAGGCAGCCACTAAAAGGCCCGATATGTAGGTCCGTTTGGGCACAGTAAACTCCCTCGGGTAGCGGGTTACGCAGTTTCAATAATTCTGTCAAGCATTTTACTGCCATAAAGAGATTTTCTCTCTTTTTTCATAAACATTAACCAGCTTGAGCCAACCGGTCACTGGCCATTGCCAGATTCTGTTCTTTCTTTATAAAGAGTCTGACAGTGTGGCAGTGGTGAATAATGCTGATTGATGTCCTCATTGTTGCCCTTCTTTTCACCAGCCATGAAAAAACAAGCCCAGTCTGAGGGTCTTTTGAAACTCTACCATGAACTCTATCCGAGGCTGTATTTATCTCATGATTTCTGAGAGACGCTGTGCAGTTACACATTTCAGAGGAGGAATATGCAAGTTTATCACAGTTTACAACCACACAAAAGTGAAAAATGGTTCTTGCACTCTTTAAAAAGTGCAACAAAGGGTTCCTTGAGTATTGCAGGAGAAGAAACAGCTTTGGTTCCATAAAGAATGGAATCATGAGATTTGTAAATGTGAAGAACCTCTTTGCATAATGTAAAGGTTCTGGGCCAATTTAAGGGTTCTTTATGGAATCTTTGTATTTTGTGGATGTTTTTACACTTTAAAAAGGTTCTTCATGCTCACACATCTCATTCAGAAAAATGGTTCTCAAAAGAACCATCCATTGAAAAGTTCTTCAGGGAAACAAAAGTGCTTTCTTAAAAATAAAGGTGTCAAATGGATGGTTCTTTAGAGAACCGTTCTTGTAAATGTTCCGTAAATGTAAAGGTTCTATGGAGAACTCATAAATTGGCACAGAA